TCACACACACACACACACACACACACACACACACACACACACACACACACACACACGGATCGAAAATTCGATCCCGGACGAGCCCCCAAAATTGTCGCGTTCGCGACGTTACTTTCCAAGATCGCGATACTCGGCAGAGGGCTTTCGGAAAGGAAGAACACTGTTTAAAGAAAAAGCTCGCTCTTTATTAAACCAACGGTACAACGGTACGGAAACGCATCCAGCCACCGCGGAATCTGGCCGTGAAATCTGTATACAGTCGGAGAACGACGCGTTGCCAAGGGCCGATCCTCTATTCAAATTCTTATCGATTGATATTGATTAATTTCAGCAGCGCCGAACGGAACACCGCAACAATACAGTTAGTGAAAATCCATCAAGCCTGATCAATACTGACGCCTAACATTTAAAAGGGGGACGAGACTTTGTAAATTTTCTTCTAGTTGAAACTTTGATCATCAAGTAGTAAGTCCGAATATTTTATTATTTTCATTTAATTTTTTTCTTTCTTTCTTAAGTTACCTTCCTTTCTCTTGTCTTTCCTCTTTCTCTCTTTCCCGCTTTCTTACTTTCTCAATGTATACTCTCTTTCTTTCTCCAAATTTATTTTACCTATATTCATAGCTTCTTATCCTTATTTTAGTGAATACCATAAACCAATCGGACGTGATTAGGAAAAATCAATCTAAAACAGCGCTTAAGAATCTACGGCACAGGCGGAACAAACGGGTTCATCACGCTAAACTAAAACCGCAGCAGAACAATCATGTTCCGCAAAAACCTATCCTTCCTTCACTTGCCGATCTACTTGAATTATCCAATGACTCTCTAGAATGTTTATTTTTTAACAGAACCAAACTACTTTCCTAGTCTATCTCTTCGAACCAGAATCCCCCGTTGATTTTCGAGTCCTATCTCCCAATCCTTTTTTTTAATATGAAGATCCTTCTTTCTCTAGTCCCGAACAACAGCTCTTTTTGCTCTTGTGACTTATTAATCCCACTTCCCAAAGAAGATAAGGATTACTCTCTTCCTTGAGTGCTAAACCCCAATTCCTTTATATTTACATATTCGTATATATATGTATTTTACATAACATTTATTATTAAACTTTACGTTTATACTTTTATCGAAATGCTATTTTAATTAAAAAATATTGCACAATTAATATTATATAACCAGGTAAAATAATAATTTAAGTAAAAGTTAATTTGACCGTTACACGACTCCTCCATTGAAATCTTACCTGACGATTTCCATACCATCGTAACACCCACGAGATAACATACATATAAATATAAATACATATCCCAACATTTATGCATATTTTTTGCTTCGTTAAGTTATGTATATCTTTCAGTATTCATTAAAAATTTATATTAAATTTTAATTTTCTAATTTTCCTTTAAAACCCTCGTTCTTTATACACGGTGCGTTCAAAGAATTATGTTACAAATACTTGATTTTCGAAAAAACAGCTGTGTCTTCTGAGCCCATTATTTATTTTAGTTTTTACTTTAATATTTAGTTTTTCTTAATTTTTTAGCTGGACAGCCGAACGTTCGCATAACACTAAATTCTTTTAATATGAGAATTAAATATATTTTTATGAGAATATTTTGAATGTGTGTATTAATTATTTCATCATATAATCTCAATTTCTATGGTTGAAAATCATTTAATATAGTTAAAATAATTTACAGGTGAGCATACGATTAGGAAGATTAAGAAATAACTAAATGTGATATTTCTCTTTTCCTTTTTTTTTTATTAAACACAAGCCTGGAAACACAAAACGCTAATTGCAAACAAAATTGTATTAAAATTCGTATCAGTTTGTCATGGAATCTTTCTGTTCGAAGATCAAATTATTAATCAAAAATTTACAAAAGATCAATTTGTCTAGATCCATCTCCAATGGCGGAAAGATAATGCAGTAATCGCCGCAATTATCGAATATCTGTATAATGTTCATAGTGCGATACTGATCGCATGTCAGAGATCTTTCTTAAATGATAAAATCAAAATCAACATCTCAAAAACAATACCGCGGCTCATTTTCATAATCTTTATAAGATAAAATTGCCTTAAGAGAAATTTCCTTATTTTTACCTGATCAGGCCCCAATCATTATTTATCAAAGATAAAAAAATCTCCTTATTTTTACCTAATGAGACTCTTATCAGGATTTGATGAGAATGTTATAACTTTAAAAATATTTATTAATTAGGATCAACTTATAAGGACCAAGAAAGAATTTATAAAAGATATCATACGTAAAAAAAATAAAGATTGAGTAAAGCATACTTTGCAGAACATGATAATGATTTTTCACTTAAATCTTATTTATTTCACAATTACTTACATTATATTAAAACTTAAAATTACATTTTTTATATATGTTATGTGTAATTAAGCTTGTAAATGAAATAATGACATAACAAAAAAGATATCCTTCTTTTTAAGAAGAAAATTGCAAACGAAGTAATTTGTAAGATACATCCGTTAAACGATATTTACCAAAACCGTGAGACTTCAAAGAAGGTTGCCATGTTTTAAGTAACTTCGATTTACAAGGGAATTTATATAATAATTTCTTTTTTTTCCATATTTCTCCTTCAATAATTATATTTGAAAACGAGCTGTTGTCTTTATCACAATGCATGAATTTTATTTCCATGATCATATCATTATTTAATAGTACTATATTATTTCCTCTTTTTGTTATTATCCTAAAATTCTATTGAAATTTTTTAAAAATAAAAATGACAACAAGGGTGTTAGGAATCAAGCGCAGTAAATGGGGCGCAAATAATTAACCGTTGAATTCTATCTATATTTTATAGTTTTTCTTACATCCAGTTACATCGTTTCGATCCACTTTCAGATCATCTTCAGTAGATAAATATATCCATAATAAAAATGGTTTGAAGTGTATTAATTCATAACTTCACAGATTCGCATGCAGATTTGATAAATGTAACAGTGCAATATCTCGAGAGCTTTTGTCCAAACAGTTCCACAATTGATGTAGGAGACACTGTATGATCAATATCATTATGGACCATTTATGATATATTGAATCAAGGAAGTTTTTTGATGTGTCAAAAAAAATTAGAAGAACAAGGAACTGTTAGAGATTCACCTCGATGATATTGATATTAGTTATAACAATAAGAAGTTATAACAATAAAAAGTACACAGATGGAAATAAATACTGAATATTACAAAAGCATGATCACAAATAAAAAATAAAAAATTTTTTAACAGAGAAATAAGATAAAAGTCAGTTAATAAAAAGAAAAAGTAAATACGTTTTGACTGTTTTGCGTCAATTATTAAAATGTAAAAAGATAAATAGCGAGGATGGAAAGTCAAAATTGTTAAGAAGAGCAATGCGGTCACACGTTTATATATTGTTTATAACAAGAATGTACATATGGTTAAGAAATTTTGTGTCTGTTTGCAAATTGATATCATTTGTTTGTTGTGTA